TCTACCTATCAATTTTGCATTAGATAGTGAAAAATTACAGACATATAAAACAGGCAAAATTAAAGCTTCGGCACAAGATTTTACAAAAATTTGTGGTAATCTGTCTGGATCTTTATGGACATTATTTGAAACATCTAAAAGTTCTTCAGCTAATAGATTTATTAAATGACTGATAACAACAAAACGAGAGATTACTGTTAATATAAAGTTGAATCTTAGATTTGTAAACACAATTAAAGTATTCTACAAAAATTATCGATTTTATTTAATTTAAATGGTCTAAAGTTATTTAGGCATAAGTTAGATCATCCCCAAAGCATAGTCAGTTCTGTGCATCCTTTAGTGAAAATTCGCGTATAAATATCAATAAATCGACACAATACACTAATAATGCCTCAACTTTGAATTTTTATTTTGATTATTATTAAACTACACTCCTCACGCCAAGCTCAAACTTCAGACAAAACTGTAAACCCTCCCTTTGGCCAAAACACCTCAAACGTCCCATTTTACAAGTTTGGAACAACAATAAACAAAATCCACATGGGAAATAAACTTTCCAAAAGTACCCACAAACTTAAATAAAACTGCCTGCTAACTAAACCCCGAAAAATTTTACGAGCTATATCATCGCATGTTCTTTTAATTCGCCTTTATATTTATAGACGGTAAAATAGAATAACAGCGGATTAGATGTTCATAATCGTAACTCACCATGTGCATCCGACTGACGTCCAAAAAGTTAAACCTGATCAATAACCATTCACGAAGCACTTATCCTTTGACGTCAAATGCCCCCAATGTCGAAACGAAACCAGATATTGAAATTAGTGGGCAAAAGTTTCGATGGATTTTTCCGTACTCACGACCCCGGAGCAAACGGGGTTGGGCTAATAAAAGCGCAGAGTTTGGCAAATATTTGAATTGAAACGTAATCGGAAATAGTTTTATGGGACAGTGGTGGTTTAAAACGGGGTTGCATGTAAAATGTGGTTAATTCAGTATGATGAATTTTTATTCCTTTAGTTATGTAACGATTTAACAGGTACCCAGTATAAACTTTAATTTAATTTAACTTAAATTAGTAGATATAAATAAAATAGGCGACTTATTTTTATTTGGGTAAAATTTACGAGTGTACACCCAAAATGAACATGAATTAATTACGGAAAACTATTTAAAAATATTCCAAAAATTTACATATACTTGACACAATAAAAAAATAAAACAAAAATTAAATAAAAAAGAGTTAGTGTTAATGCATCTGCAAATTTTAAATTCTTTGAGATTTGTTGACCTTCTACAAAAAAAAGCTGTCGGTCGTTCACAACTGGGGACGACATACCTTATTTATATTTGTAATTTACAGAATTATGTTTCGCAATTCCTAAATTTTATATGCAGCGTGATTCAAAAATGCTACACTAACTCAACGGTACATTATGAAGTTCGGAAGTCAAGACAAATCATTAAAAAATTGCTTACATAAATTTGATCTTCCATATTTGCGTCCAAGGGTTTTTACTTTTTTATTTTTTCTTTGCTCAATAAATAGCCCTTAACAACGTGCCACCGAGTCAGTGTACCATGTTTGAATCCCTTAATATATAACTTGGAAAATTTACAAGAATTATTTATACTCTTGCAGCAGCTTTAGATGCAACTCGCATTTTTTTTTATATGTTAAATGTGCTAAGATTGTTGACAAAAATTGACCAAAGCTTAATATAACTGTAAAGGAATTTAAGCATCAATAAAGCTGGATATAAATCATTATGTGGTAGACGTGATCCATCCACAAGGATAATGAAATGAAAGTTTTGTTTAGAATTCTCTGGAATTTAGAACTAATTCGTCAAATGAAGTTTTCCCTTAATGTATTACAAGCGTATGTCTGGAAAGTTATAACTCTAATGAAATTTCTTGCTATAGGGTTACAATGTTTTTTAAGAAACATCAAACATTGTTCTTTTAATTATAAATCTTATCTAACTTTCAGAAAATCGTTTGTCTCAATCTTATTTGGAGAAGATTTGTGGTATATTTTCACAAATCTTTTTTAAAAAACAAACCGAATTGTTTCGTATTTTACATAAGTTGAGCTACATGTCTGCAGATATTACACGATAATGAAAAAACTGAAAATATTGTAATTGTAATTGTTATATTTCATAAAATTATTCAAAAATATTTTTCAATAAAATTTGATCAAATGATATGCGTCGACTAAGATTCTGCCAAAATTTTTGAAAAACACGGAACCCGGAGATTTTTTCAAGTTCTTTTAAATAAAACACAAGGGGCTCCGAATATTCTCTTATATTGTTAAATAAAAACACATTGGACGCCCTCAAGATTCTTTCGAAAGGTGTTCAAAAATGAAACACAGGAACTCTGGAGCAGTTTTCAAATTCTTTAAAAATGAAGCATAAGGAGCTCCGAAGATCTTCTTCAAAATCTTTCATAAACAAACACCAGGGATCTTCAATATGTTTTTTGAAATTTTTTCGTAAATAAAACACTGAGCGGTCCAGTCTCATTTCTTAAAAAAATTGACTTTGTGAATTTTATTTTTTCATTTTTCATTATAACTCTTAAAAGTTAAAATCGAAATAAATGTGGATTATTAAACTACAAGTAAAGAATGCATAGATGCATTTCAAGTGAGTTTTTCTTCATAATATTTTGTGACGCCATCAACTTTTTACTGAGGATAAATATATCAATTTGAATATGTATAGTATAATATTAATAACAGCACTGTATTCCCAGAATTTTAGGACACTAAGGCAAGCCGTTTTTGATTTGGTCAATAAAATAAACTGCGTCATTCAAACATTTTTAAACTCCACTATAAGCAATTTAAAAAAATATTAATGATTTTAGACACGATTTATCCAGCAGAATTTTGACATGACATCATCAAGTTTCTGTAGGGGATAAACGTTTGTAAGATTTCAGAGAAGTCAGTTTTATAACTTTTATTTGTTCCTCACTTGTAAACATCAATTTACCAAGTCACTGTATTCATAATTAAAATGTCACTTTACTGGCTAGCCAGTAAAATTTTTACAGCCCTGCTCGTGCTCATACAGTCATGTATTTTAAACATTTTAAACTATTATAAGTTGAAATGACAGCCAAAATTAATTCAGGTAAATTTTTACTCACAATTGCTGCTTCCTCAGTAATAGAGCTTGCGCCACACTCATTTCAATACATCGAAAACGATAAATCGAAAAATTTAACTGACAGAACTAGACAACACAATAAGTGCTATGATAAGTGCCATGCTGGTGTGCGTTTCCAAGGCAATACGTCTAAAGCTCATACGATGTTTCTTCAAATATTGGACCTTCTAGAGTTTTTAATAGTTTATAATAGATATTTACAAGTGAGAAACAAATACAATATTGAACAATACACGCAAGGTAATGGGTTTTTACTGGCTCCAGAAGGTGACTAGCTCGTCTGCGGCTTGCCAGTCATATCCTTGTGTCCGCCAGAAACAACCCTTTTACCATGCTAGTAATGTTAAATACTAACTATAATAATTAGTAATGATTCGCAATTTTGATTTTTTCCCCAAAAATGCAAACGACAGACAAACAAAGGCAATATTTGTAATATCTTGTTCTCAAAGTGCTGCTGCGGACATCGAGATAGGTTAAACAATTTCATTAAAACACTACCAATGGAAATGTAATTAAAATAATAACTTGTTCAAACTTCGTAAAGTCTAAAATTAATCTTACAGTCCGAGATAAATTAATGTACACAAAGCTGTCGCAATAATTAGTTTCATTGTTAAATACAATATTTTCAGCAAAAATCGAGACACTGTGCTTCTAGGAATATCGGACTAAACATGCGAAAATAATATGTATTTGCGAGAAATATGTAATCAACTAACAAAAATGAGTAGACGTCATCAATTTTCTGGAAGAAGTGATTATTCAAAATTTCTAACATTTTCACAAAGTTCCCACGAATACACCGAAATGGAATGGACAATTGACACACAGGCGAAAACCCTCTTGCGTAAATTTAACAGTATCAGATTATTACTCCTTTCACTTTTTACTGCTAAAACAAAACGAAATCAATACCCTTTCCGGTGACACCGGAAGCAAGGATCATTCGTCGCAACGCACGACAAGTACGAACAAATGCGATATAGATGGAAAGTTCATGCGAAATTTATGGAGAAATGTAGATGTAGAGCGACGTTCTAAAAATGGGATTTTCGTTTGAGGAGGAGCAGTTTTTAGGGTAACGCTAAATTACGCGTTCGCTGACACACTTTTTGGTATTCGGGGCGAATACTGCGTCACACAACACTTACTTCGATGAGATTTAAGAATAAGCTCATATTTGTCTATAAGCTTTTTTTTTATGCGATTTGTTGCAAAGAGAGAATCTTGGATGGGAAATTGAGGGAGACGTCAATCTTATCATTTAGTCACTTCTATCTGGTTGTACGGGGGACGATTATTGAATAGATAAATAGGCAAAGTGTGGAAAGTTTGAAAGATCGTTCGAGACACTTGTTGATGGGCTTGTTTATGGCTTCTGAAGTTTTACAGCGCCTACGAAAGGGACCGAAAACTTTTGTAAGTAGACGTGTACACAAAAAATTGAGGGTAATTGAATCGTCTGGAACCGAAACCAGACCTGTCTTAAAACAAAATTTTCAAAATATATGGCTTTTATAGCTTTTAACTTCGTCATTTACAATGCAAACACTTTTAATCAACCTGATGAAGCAGTCCCTTCTCGTGCTTTCCTTATATATGAAACTTTTCCGTGTCTTGTTTCAGTCAAGTTACATCCGTTGCAAGACAAGTGAAAATATAAAACTTAATTACCTTTGATGCTCCCTAAAATGAATAAAAGATCGATCTTGCGACTTTGCTGGAACTCCTCGGCTTTCAACAAGTTGAAATATGATCGGGGACAAAGGGAAATTGCCCAACTTTAACACTTACTTCTTGTTCCAGCTGACAATTTTCACATACACTGCGGTAGGAGAAAACCAATATGACTGCTGGGCTACCTTCCAGGAACCGTGGGGAGAGAAAGCTTACGTCACATGGTTTGTATCCAATCAAATAAATAGTTATATCAATTTTATAAACGAATTTCTCTAGTGTGTCATAAAATACTTAACTAGAGATTGCCAGTGCCGCCAGGTAACCTGGAATATCATATAAGTCACTACTAACTTTATATGCATTACAACAAACAGCTTAAGTATATCAGGTGTTAACAACAACAAAAAAATTATGTGAAACAGACAAAAATTAGTTAATATGATTTAAGATAAAAACGACGAAACTGGATCGCATGTCAAACGTGAATGTAGAGCAAGGCTCGCATCTAACCCTAAGTGGACGTTAGTCATGCTATATGACACCATGTTTGGTGTCCTCTTACATAAAATAATGTTTTTAAATGAGTCAAGCATCAAATATATGTCTGATAATTTCAAAAATAAAGTAACTCGAATTTAAAAACTACTGTTTTCGGTTTTAAATTTCAAATCCATAACGCACGTAAATCAAAAGCGCTAATAACTAGTTGGAGAAATAGACAAACTTAGTGAACTTATAAAATCACAGAAAAAAGAATCGACAAAACATAACATTTAAAGGGGAAATTCACCTCCATCTTGGAAGTAGTTGCGTGCTCGTAAAATTAAGATTGTGCTCGTTCACATGGATTTTGTTTATTCGTAAGATAAGAAAAGTAAGTTTTTCCCTAGCTTGTCTTGGTTGTTTGAGAAGCCATAGTTTTTTTTAATTGCCAATACAATTTGGTAAATATACAAAACATTGAAGCGCCATTTTTATAAAAATCTTTTTATATACAATTAATATAAATTTTCGTTTCTTTGAATTTCGTACCCATACATGTAGGCGTCCGGGTAATGTATTATTGTATAAAAAAAATTATCCGCATCGTACACTTGGTATGCATAAAATAGCCGAAGTTTATTCAGTAGTCAAGTGAAAATACTTTAAGAAGAACACCAAAAAAAGTCGCAGCAGACGTAAAACAACAAGTCTGGTCCACTTCCAGGGGAGGAAACTGTAGTGACCATACCTTCAAGCAGTGACTATATACAGGGTTAGTCACGAGAGAATTACTGTTGTAAATGTACCATTTGATATTAACTGAATTTAAAATAAAATGCTTAATCCATGATTGCTTTGAGTTTGGCAATCTCATTTTGACAATTGTGGAAAAAGAGGTTACGCGAGTGTCCATGGTGGTACCGCAGCCAGTCGGAAATCTTCTCCGGCGCCGCTAATAAATTTGTCAGTGTGCCTCTTGATCTTTTGCAACCGATTAATCACGAGAAAATTATTTCTAAAAATTCCTTTTACGGAATTTTATTCAAAGGTTACAACACAAACTCAAACAAGTAAGTAAATAATTTAACTACTAATCTGTTGAGAATGTTGGGCATTTTGGGGGGATGCTACGGCTTTTTTGTAAATGGATGGCCGAAGAAGTCCAGAGGTTGCAGATTTGCACTTCGAAGAGGCTCTAGGTGAAGCAGAGATGGTGAATTAACACATGCACATTAGCGGCGAACAACATTGGTAGAGCACTTACGGCTTCAGTATAGCCCAGATTGATCTGACTGTATGTCGTCGATCGAATGGGGCTCTAGAGGCGAGTCAACGATGAAAAAAAATGTTAAAAATTAATTAACGTCAAGTGACACTGCCAAAGTCAAAGCAATCGTGGATTAGGCATTTCATTTTAAATTTAGATAATATCAAGTGGTACGGGGTATTAGTATTTTGGGTTGCGTAAAAATAATTTTCAGAAGTAATTCTCTCGTGACTAACCCTGTATATATATTCACTGCTTCAAGGGTGTTCTTCATTCTGTTTAGTGATTCCTTCATGAGCACTTTTCGTGCTTCATTCAAATTATTTTAGAATGCACCCGCTACAATGTTTCCAAAATAAGTGACAGATTGTAAAAATTCAACATGTACTTTTCGTAATATCCAGACTTTAAAAATTATTACTTTCAAATACAGTGAGTGCTCACTTTTTTATTAAAAAGGATATTTTCTCAATATTCAAAAATACAGTCCGAGATGACAAGATAACTTATAAATCCGGTGCGACACGAAGCGCCATCTTCCTTCCAGACCAACATCACCAAATGAAGTGAAGTGCTACCTCATGAGTCATGACACACAGCCTACATATGCTGAAAAATTCCCCATGGAACTGCCAAAAGTTCCACTCACCACTATGGCGTGCAAGTTTAATACTCCGCTCGAGTCATGAGGTCAAAAGCTTGAGCCATTGCTGCTACCCTTTGACGCATGTCGTATCAGATTTTCCTTCTGTCAACGTGGAAATTTTTTTTCACACTTATGACACCTTCCTGAGCCCATAACCTGTTCGAAAATCCGTGGGGCAGCAAAGCACAATAAACCGTTTAAGTGCTAGATATTAACATAAGAAAATTATGACACGAGTTGCCATTTTCCTTCCTAGCCGACATCACCGGACGAAGTGACAATCAGTGCCAACTCTTGACATAATAACGCACACGTTCCGAAAAATTACCTATGGGATCGTGACTTGTACTGTGTCGTGCATTTCCAACATTTTACCTTTATATCAAACAGCACACCAATGCCAAAGCTAAAGTAAGAATTACTACAGTGATTAAAACCAAAATACATAAAAACTGCAGTGATGGTGAAACGAATTATAAATCTAATGAGAAAAAATATAGATATCATAATGAAATATCAACGCATTAAAGAAGAATACAGAAAGAATTGTAATGGATAAATAAAATAATCTAAGAGAGGTATTTACAACCTAGACTTGGAGAAAAACGAAATCTAATAACTGAAGAAGAAAATGTACAATAAAAAAATATATAAAAATGAAATGAATAAGAAAAGCAGACATCTTACAGTCCAAACAAAAGAGACATACAATGAAGTAAATAAAGCAACGACACAAAATTTATTATAAACACATTAATATACGAGTAGTTTTAACAATTTTTTGATATATTAGAGTCATTTAAACCATCCAAAGACCCTCGTCAATTTATTTCACATTGTACACATTTGAACTTTATTTAAATAATCACAGGGTTGTATCTAGGATAATCGTTGTTCATCAAAGATTCATTCCACTAAAATCTGAGATAAAATAATACCATCATGTTGGAAGTCAACTACATGCCTACACAACTAGTTAATATTCTAAGTCTGTGGCACGCAATGATTATAGGCAACTCATTTAAATTCATTACGGCCCTGTTCACCGTCTATCGATCGCCAAGTTCCAACTCAGGGTATGTCATTTATAGTTTTACGGATTAGGAACTTCGGCTGCTTAACTTTTGCGTTCTAAAATTTTATAATACATATGTATTACAGTACAGTACGTATATACTTACTGTAATTGATGTTCTTATTCGTGAAAAATGTAAAGGAGGGCATACAGTGCAAGCAAGTTTGCCAAACTTTATTTAAAATAAATTGACAAAAAACGACAAAAATCAGAGAAGAATTATTTGTCAAAAAATTAATTAAGAAAATAATATGAAATGCTGGATGTGAAGAGGAAGTATTTGCATTGGCAATAAAACGAACATAAACTGAAGAAGTGTGTACAAAAAAAGGAGAACTGAAGGTGATACAGGTATAGGTCTGGCAAAGATTTTATTTACAAAAAGACAAGAACTGAGGAACTGAGACAGAAAAAAGTGATAACTCAACAGGAATAAAGAAAAAGGAAGATGCGTGGTTACTCGAGAGGAGATAAAATATTAAAAATTGCCTGATGCACAAAGAACGTATCAAAATTATCTGTAACAACTAAATTGCTAGATACATAGAACGAAATAAGTGGAAATAAATGTCGAATGAAAGATAATAAAAAACTGTTATATCTAATATCCTAAACGTTTTCACTTGTTGCCCATGTTGACATGAGTTTTACATTTTTTTTTTTTCGAAAATTCCTAAATCTTTTGAGGTCTTATTTATTTGTTATTTCAGAAATTTCTCTAAACTCTCTTCAAGTTTGTATTAAGTAGGTGATTTTAATTCTTTTGCAAGTAGATTTATTTCTTCTAGTGTGGCTTTAGGAACCACAAGTTATATAACCTTTCTGCTCATTTAAACGATTTTGAGTAAATTTTTCCAGCATTTATTAATAGTAATTAATGTACTAAACTCTCCAAGATAGACCAAAACCTGAGAAGATATTATCATTAATGTTATTAAAACTCACCAAACAATATTAAACACTGAGAATTTAAAAAAATCAATTAATTGAGGGAATTGGTATACCTAAATAATTAAATATGTAAAAGAAAACTTGATCAGCATCTTACGAGCAAACAGCACTACGCACTCAATTGGTAACCAACAATACAGACACTGAAACTATTTTTTAGCTCCTTTTTTTAAAGTGAGCGTGCAGTTTTCTCCAAAATATTCTGTTAACAATTCATGCGAAAAAATATAATTTTTTCTTGCTAGGTCCATTACTTTGAAGCGTTTTTTTAACTTCTTGTCACTATAATAATTGTAAATGTTGCTACTATATCCTGTGTATAACTTTATTATTATGTCTTTCAGGTACAGCATTTCGGTATTCATGATCCCCCTCGTGGTCCTAATATTCACATACACATCCATCTGTATCGAGATCTGGCACAGCTCGGAGTCCAGCCTGCGCCCCAGAAGCTCCCAGAAATCCGCCCCCGGCAAGAAAACCCCTTTGATCTCTCGAGCGAAGATTAACACTGTCAAACAGACAATTGCAGTTATTGTAATGTATATAGCTTGCTCCTCCCCGTTTATCCTGGCTCAGTTGTGGGCCGTCTGGGATCCCAAGAGCCCCTTATTTATTGAAGGTAAGTATCATCGAGAGGATATTTTTCTTGTGCCTCACCTCTTACACACTATTTGTTTCGACATCTAGAGTCGGATTAGGTTTGCTGCAATTACTTGATTGGAGAGGTTAAAACAACGTTAGCCTTTGTAGTGGTGCTTAGTGTTGTTATTCCACCAATCCCCTCTCGAGTTACCAATAAAAACCGAATGTTGTTTAATCTAAAAGTTCCAAGTTTTTTTTACGAATTACAAAAGCGGGATCTGGAGAAGTTAGAGATTTCTGCTTTACTGATGATGGGAGATAAAACTTTAAGTTTAACATGGTTGACATATTTTGCGAGTCCTTGCTGAAGTCGTTTTATTAAAGTTCTCGCGCGGGTCGAATTAAGTCGGTGGGATTGAGCTAATTAAGGGGTTTGTTTAAATAACAACAAACATTCTTCTCGCTTGGGAAAAAAATTGAATTACTTTCTGTCTGTGTTGTAACTTTTAACCGACCGATTTCGAAGCTTCTGATGGTTTTTTATAGAATCTCGAAACAGCCAGTTCAATTTAAAATAATTGTTTACTCGAAAAGTCGCTTTATTAAGCAAGCTTTTAAATTTTACTGAAGCTTTTTTCTAAACATTTACTTGAGAGGTCTTTTATAAGCAATTCCATTATCATCTCAAAGTCAGCTTGGTCGCGTTGCTAATTCCTGGGTGTAACGTTGTTGCTCTTTATTTTAATTTAAAAAACGTCGATTAAGAGAAGTCGCTGGAAAAGTTCAACCCGAGGTCGATTGATTTTTTAAAGACTGTTGGAGACAGCTTGAAGCTCTCTAAAAAAGTTTTAACTTCGGAAACAATTACGAGCTCGTGACAATTCTATACGTGGCCGAACCAAAAAATGCGAATTCTTGAACAATTTGAAGTGTTTTAACGTATCAAAGTCTTTCAGTAAAACGTGAGAAACTTTTTAAATATTCTTACTGAATAGTTTCCTTTTTTACTATGGTTATCTGAGTGAGTCTGAAAGGATACGGACCATAAACTTTTGTAATATTGAGCTGACAAAGAAAACTTTTTATCCTTACTTTATGGTTAAAATTGTAATTACGTGTATATATAAAGTAAATGGCAAGGAGGGTCTAGAAACTCAATAAAAAACTTCATATTTTATGTCGGGCGACTAAATCATGAGAATTTTTTATTGTCAGGGACGTTCCGGCAGTAATTTATTTTATTTTTTAAACGGAATTTTAAACGCGAGTGGTTCTAAATAGACATTTATTTAATGTTTCTGTTACAAAGTACAATTTATTTCATTTAGATTCTAAAAATATTCAGAACTATTTTGCACTCTATTGTGTTTAGAATTTTAAAATACCTGTTCAAATTTCAGTTTTAGCCAACTTTTAGTATGAATAGGGTAATAATAATAGAGACAAGTCTTGTTTAACAAAATAGAATAAAAATGATATTTAATTTGACTACAAAATAAAGTCAAAGTTAATGTCTCACCAATGAGTAATTAATCACTTGCATAGAAATATTTGGTTGTGATAACCGATATAGTTATTAAATCTTGGTATTAGCGAATTAAATTTCGCTAACTGAATTTATTCAATAATTTTGCACAACCATAAGATTGACAACAGCGTGATGTAATGATTACGATTTATTAATTAATAAGAGTTGTTAAAAAACTGTTATAAATCGATCAAGTAAGTTTATAAGGGTAGTTAGGGTAGTTATGGTCTGTATCGATTTACTTTTCGTTTCTTTGCCTTTGAATAATTAGATAACAGGGTCTGACCTTTAGAATTACAAATTCTTGTCTCTTATATAAAATTCAATTTTATCATCAGTTTTGACCCAAAAGAATATCTGGCATTCGAAGACAACGTTGATTCTTGTTGTAATAACATTTTGGGTAATTGAACATTTTCATTTTCTTTTTGTGTATTTTTTCGCGATATTAATATCGAAATATTCCAAGACATTATGTAATTTCTTCAGCTTTTTTACAAGCGTTTATTTTATTTATCGTAAACTAAAACAATTCTTTAATCAATCAATTCAATCTAAAAGAACTAGATTTACAATTATTTTAGAATGAAAGAAGTGTTCCATTTGAAGATTAAACATCAAAGTTACATTTTAAAATGGGATGCTCTACATATTTTTACAGATTTAAATTATTTATTAAAAAAAGAATAAAAGTTATGAAACTTGGACCTTTTGATCAACAGTTTTCAGGATGTTTTCTTTTTTTTTTTCAAAAAAGTCGTCAAATTTAAAATTCACAACTCCAACATTTTTAAGAATGGAGATTTGGAATTTTGCAAAATATTTTTTTGTCTTTCCGTAACTTAAACGTAAAAAATTAACAAGACAAATTTATTTGTACTTAGGAACAACTTCGAAAACTTGACAACCATAAGAAGATTAACAATTTGCAGATTTAATCACCTGTAGAAATAATTCAAAAGATTCTTCAGTCCTTTATATGTTTGAGAAGGCAAAATAATAGAAAAATTGAAACTAAATTCGCCTTTTTGTTACATAAAAATGCATATATGTAGGAAATCTTTGATCAAAAAACCTTTATTTCTTTTTTTTTAATAAAAGATTTAAATCTGTAAAAGTATGTAGAATTTGCTTTTAAAAAATGAAATTATGGTGTGTAACTTTCAAACAAAACAACCTGTATTATTAAAAATAATTTTCAATTGTAGTCCTAGACTCATAGACATCTGGAACACCTGGTATAGTGCAATAAATAACAGAAAACCGTAATCAAAGAAAAACAGTATCATTGACAATAAAATTTTAATAAACTGGAAGTGAATCAGAAGATGAAGTCTACAACAAATTTTGCAGGCGTGCTTGCTAAAAATTTTAGACTGAACTATTTTTTAATTCATATTAAATTTTGTACTATTAGTTCAGTACATGTTTTAAAAACACAGATGAAGTTATTCCTTGAAGCAAATAAAATAAAAATTATGGCTTAAATTATCCCTTTTACTTACATATTGCGTTCGTTAAATTCCATTCTTGTGCGTTTTAACTAATTTGTTTCATAATATCACACGAGTACATCTTCAGTATCGACTGAAACAATATTTGAAATGTTTTTTTACAAGAAGCACATATCCCCGAAGAAAATTTAAAGACTAATTAGAAACAAAAATCGTTTCTTGATCAGATCAATACAACAAAAGATGCCACTTTGTCCTCTACTACCTTACTACCCCCTATAGAAAAACAAAAAGAAATGTGAAAAAATAAACACACCGTTTAAAACACAATCATACTCTCAGCAGCTAGCATCACAAGATAAAATAACCATCGGTGTCACAATAAAGTTTGTTTTTCTTTGTATTCAGCAGAAACTATGCTATACAAAGACAATATCATCAACACTAAATGGCGGATCCCAGCTAAAGCTTTTTAAAAGAAAACTGTCTCGAGTGCTGGACTGCTATAATGCGACTCCAACAGGCAAAAGTATCATTACATTCATGAGAGCCGACTCTCGGTGTTTTCACTGCGAATTCAGTGCAATCTAAATAAACTTTCCTGAAAGGGTTAATTGTTAAACTACATTTAGCAGGTTAACTATTATCAAATAAAAAATTTCTCTAACTACCCTTTTTACCTCTTAATTAAATATTATTGATTCCAAATTGGACAAGTGTGACACAAACTTGACATATATTGTCTGAATGTTTAAGTTATGAACCAATTTAAAATTTTATAAAATTGGAGCTCCTATTACAGAAAAAGTAAAATTCAAAGGACTAATTTTTCATGTTATCGACGCCTATAATCACACCATATTTAACCCACATCCAAACAAACCTACTAAACCAAAAACCGATATCACGCACATTTCAACATTTTATTACGACTATGTATCACAACAAACGAATAAGTGTTCAATGGGCCGGCAAACAATAACATTATTGTCACAACAGTGATTGTTTCGCCTTGCTAATTTTCAGGCTGTTGCTTTTATTGTTGGAAATTCAGATTTCGGGGAGATTAACACTTGGATCAATATTTAATTCGCACATTTTGATTTCGGTGGAAAGTGGAGGATCCTCCTAGTGTAAAATTTTGGCTCATTAGGTCCATTAGAAGGCTCCAAGGGCAGAATTAATGCAGATGAAATTAGGGATTATCTGTTCGGAGCTTAAAGTTTGGAGAAGGAGCGATAATAATCAGTGTAGTTATTTAAATGTGGACGGATATAAGCCCGCCGTAATAAGCAGAAAACAAAGGAGGAGAAAATAATTGAAAGGCGGAGGTTTCAGATTAAAAAAAAAAGATGTTGGGTCGATAGCGGGCTTTTAATTTTAAAGGTCAAAGTTAACTTCGGAAGGGTCTATGGAAAATGGAACTTATTCCAAAAATTAATTATTTAGAATTTAAGGAAAGTATTTGTTTTTGTGCTCCTTTCCAACACAAAGAGCTTTTTCAGAATTTCAAAGTAACTGCAGACTACTCAAACTGATAAAAAATGTAACGCTAAAAAACCTACAAGAACAAATTTTTATTGAAAATTTTGTTACATGACAAGGAACTTTTGAACAATTTTCCATAAGACTTTTCTTTTTTCACATAATCGACGCTGTGGACTCAGCCTAAGGGAACAATGCGTCTAATGAGTCTAGCTTTTGGAGATTTATTCTATAAGTAGCATTTTGTGTGATACTTATGAGATTTTTTCTGATACTGTGATATTAAAAATTTATTCAGAATAAATATTTCTGGCTGGAAATTGCGACCCTGACTCTGTGTGTGGTTCTGATTACACCTGTTATCAGTTACACAATAAAATTAATTTACTGGTCTCGAATTTTTTAATGTTCAAATTCACACCTAAGTAAAAGTCAGGGAGACGTACTTTTATATTAAGAGAACGCTCAAACAGTTTGTAAATTTAACACTGCAGTGGGATGGTGATTCGTATAGAAAACAGAGGATTTACATCGTAGGGAAAATTGCATTCATACAAATAAACTTACTAATTAATACTAAAGAAATGTTTGACTTATTAGCGAGCTTATTACAGTTTTAAAGCAAGGTTTGTTTTAGCAAGAAATGAATTACAGCTTCGTTTTCTTTTATTTTTTTAAATATAAATATTTGTTTAATACTTATATCACTTCACTCATTTGCCGCCCTGATGAGAAAAACGCCGAAGTCTAGCACAGAAAAAATAGGATAAAATGACTCATCGAAAATAATCATCCAGCTATAAAAACCAGTACTTTTTCATACCAAAAACTCAGAGGCGACTCTTCTGAGGAGAAGAGACAAGACAGACTAAAAGTCTCGTCAAAAAAACGTTTCTATCATTTTTTAAATCTGCGCAATTATCAGTTATATTACAGGAATTACGTAAAAGTTCCAAATGGGCACTGATTTGTTCCGCCTCTTTCGGATTGTATGACTGTCTTGCTAAGTGTTTAATTGATTGCATAATCTGCAGGCAAACTCGCAATATTATTCATACAAACTATAAAAACGTTCCATTGGTATACATTCAAATTTTACAATGTCATTACAAGGGGTTGGCTAAGCTGTTCACACACTAAGTTTCCCACCGGCTTGACATGCGTCGCTTTTATTCAACCGGAAAAACGGTAGGCAAGAACCGCTCGGAATACGGGTCTTTTACCTGCCCGGTTTTAAAAGTACAATTTATGGTGGGTATGAACCGCTGCGAAGTTAACTGGCTTAAACCATCATAAAATTTTATTGTATACAAAAGGAACGTTGTTAGTGTACATACATAAATAGTATGTTCATTTAAAATGGTATGATAAGTTATTTATTTAAGTAGATAACAAACAATTTTATGTATACATATATAAAAATAGCTGGAAGGTTGTTTCGAAAGAACTTCCCTCGCATCTACAATGAAACAGATCCAGCATTTTCGAAAAACTATACAATACTTCCTTAGATTACGTTCAGGAAGTACAAATATGAACGGAATAATAAATTGTAAATATAGACTCATCATATTTTGCACATTTTAGATAGGATTTATGGGACAAAACTTTGGGAGGGGGAGATAAGCAAATATATTTTGATTAAAAATTTACTATGTTTATCGTAACTGTAAAGCATCGGCAAGATTTTGGATTTTGCAAATTCAAAATTAAATTGCAAAATGTTGTTAAATAATTTTCCGACAAAAACTCAATATGGATTCGTAAACTACACGTGTAGGACTATGTTATTTTATACAATTTAAAACCCATTTGCTATGTACAATTTTGAAGTGACGTCATCACATTAGTGGTGGGAAAGATTAGAAAAAGTTTGGTAGCGTTTTACCATTTACATTATATTCCTAATACACATAAAAGTTGACAACAATCGGTCCAGTAGTTTCTGAGATCTGTCCAACAAAAATCGTCACGGACAGCGGACAGACAGACAGACGGAAACGGGAGACTCAATTTTTCGGACTCTAATGATGCTCTAGGGGTCATGATCCATTGAAAAAATACGAAAGCAACCGGTCGCCCGATGAACTCACTGACCCTCGGGAAGTAAAAATTAAATTTTATTAAGAGACAGCACTAGAAAAGATTTTATTTTCTTGATACACGCACTCTTTTTTTTCATATTTTTTAAACGAATCCGTAACGTTTCGTCATTTATGTTACGATAAAACTATTGACGTTAAATACTTAATCTTCTAAATGGTCAAATAGTAAAAAGTCAGTGGCGTAAGTTCAGGGAAATGTGGTGAAAATTCTGGATTTATAGCTAGATTATCATAAACCAACGTTAAAGCTCCTGTGTATACTGTTGTTGGAAATAACCTGAACGAAGTTCTCCATCATACAGTTGGTGTATATAATACAGATGCAAAAATTCCTCTCTCTCTCTATCGTTCCACAATTACTAAACCCTGGAAAAATGCAAGTCTATAAACTCTTCTTTATAAACTTTTACCATACCTACTCCAATCTTCTGGAAATATTGAAGGGTCTCAACAAAACTACTGTATATAGATTTTCAGAACTCCACATTCCAAAAGTCTGCGAATTAACAGAACTATACAAATAAAACCACGTTTCATCAATAAAGAATGTTACATTCAATATTCTGTCACGACTGAGTTGAAACAATGTGCAATTCTCAAAGCGCCGAGAAACCTTTGAAGGTAAAAGTTTATGCAGAGTCCGGTCTTATATGGATGCATTGGTAACCTCGTTTCAATAACTTTGTGACATGTGCTGAACAGAACACCACTTCCCACTCTCAGAATTAATTCTCACAAATCTATTAATTACATCCCGAATGTGATTTAACAGTCTGCTGAACTTCAATTTCTGGGAAACTTGCAGCCTACAATACTTGTCTCTAGAAGCCTGCATTAAGCAGGTCCATTTACCATAATGTCTAGTTCCAAAGAAAAGACCATTATTATTGCTAAAACACAAAGTACCCTTTGAATTAACGTTATGTCACAATAAAACAACGAATCGATAATAGTAACACAATACAAACGAATAACTCCAAACATGGTTTCAAACTCATAATTATTTTTACAGATGACAGATTACTTAAGATTCTAAAAGTGTCCATCATTATGAAAAGTGGCAAGTCTACTATTAATAAATTTCACAGGTCACTAGTTGTATGAAACATTTATGAAAGGTTACACATTAAAGATGTTTTTTTAAAGGGAAGGAATAAGGTGTCAGATACAAAAGTTTTAATCAGTAGTTGTTAAATTATTTGAATTTTTATATTAAAAAATCCAGGACGGCAGACAGACGGACAGACGGACGGACGGACAAACAGACAGACAGACAGACAGACAGACAGACGAAAACGGGAGACCTATTTCTTCGTACTCTAGGCGTCTCGATTACAATACTTCCTTCGGTTACGCTCGGGAAGTAAAAATTGTCATATGTAAAAATCCTCAACTCCGCCATGTTTAAATACGAAGGCTTTCGCTGAACTTTCCTGTAAAATTTTACTCTCGTCATTAGCTGACATTTAAGTCACAACCTTAAATGATCCTTAGACAATTAATACACGCTCTTTACACACCACAATACCATCTTTGTCCCCAACCGCACTGCCACGCAAATCCTCCTAACTAACAAGTGTGGCGTATAATAACACCCACAAGAAGTCACCCAAAACTCTCCAAAATAATGAAAACGGCTTATGTCATTACAGGTCCCGTGTTCGTAATCTTAATGCTCCTATCCTCGTTAAACAGCTGTGTAAATCCATGGATTTATCTAGCATTCAACAGAGAATTGCCGCGTCTCCTCCTCAGGCACTACACCGCCTCCAGCAAGAATTACAGAACAGCGACAGGAGGTAAGATATGCAGCCGAGTGATTGCTTTTCTATTGATTTGCAGGGAGTGGGACTAAGCTTCTCTTTTGCTCATTTTGTTGCTTTAATAGTCATTATCTCAAGTTTTTCCGCTACATTTATAGACCAGACAAATTAGATACCATTGCAAAATTGGCGTTTAAGAATTTGTTGCAAGTCTAAGTGTAGGGAAGACATTTTCTAAATTTTGAAATTAAAAACTTTTGGTAAAACACTGGTAGCCTTGAGCTTCAATAAGGACAGCAATTAATTTTTGGCACTAAATTAAACTTTCAGGCTAACTTTAACAGCAGAGAGAAATTCAGGTTTGTTTTAAAACAAAATGGACATTTACTAATCCATTGCATATTACTTTCGTGGTTTTTGTGTTACCATTGGGCCTTCCCGTGAATTCTCAGCTAGACGATGAGTTTTATTTATTTTTTAATTTTGTTCTTTTTCGACTTCTCAACAAATTTGATCATTATTATTTTTTTATACCTTATACTGAATCTATTCAAATGAATCGGCAATATTTTGTCTTAATGATTTAATAGCAAAGTTAGCTAGCAATGACGCGAAATGACATTTAAATCATTCTCAGTTTCATCTTCCCTATACATCGAAAATTGCTTGTAACGTAGATTATTATACCAAAGAAAAAAATCCCTAATAAAATTGTACCAAGGCGTGAATTCTTTATGACAACTTCAAATTATGCCTTCTGTTCCGAAAGACGGATGCCTAGCTTCGCGACAATTCAGCGAATTATACTAAAGCAAATTGACCCAAATTGACTTTGACGCGTTTTGTCATACATCATTATGATTCTAGTAGCTGTTACTGTCATACATCATTATGATTCTAGTAGCTGTTACTATTTATTGAACGAAACCGGAATTTTAGCCTCCGCACATCAATCGTTAGCAAAGTCTACTGCTTAAATCTTTCTAACAAAATTACTAATTCATCCACATCGTATAAAGTACAAATATTCACTTTATATGCTTAGGGAAAGCATACTCTTAATAGTGTTAAAAAAATGGTGTTGAGAACCATACGATTGAGAAGGAGGTTGTCAAGTACCTGTTTAGCATAAGAGCGAACTTTATTAGAAAGCTCTAAGCAAGGCTATTCGTTTTATGCATCTATTTCGATCGACAATGTGGTACTTATAGAATTGGCAAATGCTTTGCTAACGATCGATATGCAGACATTTATTCCATCCATTATATTTAACTAAATAACTTTGTCATGAGTAACAAAATAATTTGGTGAAGTTAAGTTGACTATGATTTAAGCAAAACCCGCCCTCTAGTTCCGGGAATTCGTGGAATGGCCCACTCCATTTTCGCTTCAGTGTGATGTTCCATGTAAATCTAATTTATCTGTTCTGTCCATAGCATTTATTTTCATTTTCTTTATTGCTTGGGCACAGGTAACAGTGCAAGTAACTCCTCAGGTGACGCCCAGAGCACCTCGCTGCGGCCATTCTCGAGATGGTCGCTGTGCAACAGCGCTAGATCAAATAAGTATCCCTCGCGTGTGTCTCACAGGCCCTACGTTGCTCAATACAACGCCAGACGATGGGTAGTCACAACGACCACCTGAAATATGGAGGCTGGTGGTTGCTACAACGTTACCAACCACGACAAGGACGACATTTCAGGCTCTTCGCTGATCGAGATTAGTGAACTGACCACCGAACTGACCGAACTGGAAGTTACTGAAACTGTGATGTGACAACATACGATTACAAACTAGCTACTTGTACCTGATAGGGATTAAGTTAATTTAAAAACTGCGATGAAGTAACGTTTGCCGGTTTAAAGCTGTGAAGAACTCACTAGTGTTGTTAGTAGATTGACTTTTGAAATGCTTGAGCGCTTGGAATTTGTCTATTTTATAAATTTCAATTTAACGATGTAGTTTTGTAGTACGTATTGCTTAAGCGGAGTCGATTTAAAGAGATAGGTTTTCGAATTCTATTCGCTAAGCATACTTAAAGTTACCAAATCCATTTCTGTCCACTCCGTGTGTGTAATTTTATACCTCTGAATTTCTGATGTGATACTTGTTGAACCAGTTATAAATTTATTACTGTTCCTAGGCTATGTCATCTTGTGAGATATTGAAATGTATTTTGTAAAACGTTACATGATTTGCTGTAATATTTTTCTAAATAAAAGTTTCATTATGATTGTAGTGAGTGTTTCTATTGGTTGTGGGCGAACAATAAGGCGAACGATTGATTTTTTTTTTCGAAACACCAACATAATACAGCACAAATAATAAAATTTTAAACAAGCGAAACTCTCTCACAGAATGAAATTTTCTTGCCTTTATTTTTCTTTTCTCCATCACTGTTTTTCTAAAGGCGTGCGACGGGTGCTTTTAACGACTTTGTTGTCCTAATAATATTTCCATATAAATTTCTTGAAAAGTGCATCCGTGCAGAGTGCAGCGGCATTCAGTACAAAGTTCGCAAAATTCCAACTGAATCACTCCCATTTTATAAAAAGTTAGTTGCAACAAACCAAAGGCTTTATGCAGTAAATACTAAGAGAAACACTGAATTAAAGATATGGTCGTTCCAACCGAACCAACAAACTTTGTAACATATTGTGCACACTTTTCGCAAAGAAAAGATGTTGAAGTTGAGATGAAAGTGGCTACGGCATTAAATTATTATTATTATTATTATTATTAGTTTTGCGTTCGGGCAGAGGCCTAGCCTGTTATGCCCGCGCTACCTGGCTACCTAACTAACAAACGAATCCAATTAATTTTATCCATTATAATTATCAAATTTAATTTTGAAATTTGTCACTGTATCAGCTTCAACAATACTGGCTGGTAAGGCGTTCCACGTCTCGAAAACTCTATTGGAAATAAAATGTTGCCTCACTGTGGAACGGAATTTATCCTTCACTAGTTTAAAACAATGCCCTCTAGTTCTACTAAGTGTATTCAGGGGAAACAAATGCCTGATGGGCGATTGCGGATCTTTAAGCGCCCGAAAAGTTAAAATTAGATCACCTCTCTTACGCCGATTGGAAAGCGTTGGAAGACCCATCATTGCAAGTCTGTCAGCATACTGCGGCCAAATTCTACCAAATGGAATTCTTGTGGCCCTTCTTTGCACAGATTCTAATAACTCTATATCCCGTTGAAGAATCGGAGACCAGATGTAATTGACAAACTCAAGAACTGGCCTGACATAACTCTTATAGAGCTTGCTAATGACAGATATATGACTTCTCGCAAATGCTCTCCCCAACAAATACACCATTTTGTTCGCCTTTCTAATAGTACTCAAGACATGTTCGGACCAAGAAAGAGTGGACGTCACAAGTACCCCTAAGTCGACGTGGGAATCAGATTTACACATATCTACACCGTCTATCAAATAGGTATGTTGGGGATTGGCGTTCCCAATGTAAAGAACTCTACATTTTGCAATATTAAGTGGAAGTAACCATTCCGAGCTCCATTTGCACACTTCCAGAAGGTCTTGAGTCAATGCCATCCAGCTATTACTTAAGTTATACAATTTAACATCATCTGCGTACATGGCAAATGAGGACCTAAACCTAAATTTCAAATCGGCTGTATAAACTATGAACAGTAGCGGCCCAAGAACGGATCCCTGCGGCACACCACTTAAAACTTGTACACAGTTACTTAACGCACCACCGACCCTCACTCTGAATGTCCGCTCCGATAAGAAAGCGTCAATCCACTGGTAAAGATTTCCCCTAATACCTAAATGCTGGAGCTTAAACAACAAATGACGCTTAGGCACACGATCAAAAGCTTTAGAGAAATCCAAGTAGATGACATCAACCGAGTTTCCCAAGTCAAGTTCTTTTGTCTAGTCAGAAAGACAACAAAGAAGATTGGATATGATGGATTTTCCCGGGAGGAAACCATGCTGCTCCATTGGTACAAGTTGATGTTCAGTAACAAATTTTAGGATGGATTCATAAATTATTGATTCCATTATCTTAACAACTAACGAAGTCAAACTAACAGGACGATAATTTGTTGAACAGAACTTGTCCCCTTTTTTAAATATAGGGCGAACTATGGCTATCCTCCAGTCACTCGGTAGAGTTCCCTGGGAGAAGGACTGCTCCATCAAACGACTTAAAGGTTGGGCAAGAAAGTCAGCACAGTTTAGCAAAAGGGAGGCATTAATTTCATCTGGACCAGGCGACTTAGTACATTTTAATTTTTTCAGTTTCGCGCAAACGACCGTTTCTGGAAACTCAACACTGTCAAGATAAAGACCATGACTAGGTCCAGCCAAGCTTGGAAGTATGTTGTTCGGCGCAATCGTGAATGCACTAGAAAAAGTTTGTGCAAAAATCTCAGCCACACTAGCACAATCCTCGATGACACGACCAGTTTCATCTTTTAGTTGCGGAGTGGTAACCGAGCCAGATATTTGATTCCGAACATGTTTGTAAAAACGTTTGACGTCATTGTGATCAGCAATGCGTCTCTCATAAGCAATGCGAGCATCCTTAATTGTGGTTAAGAGCCGATTTGAGAAATCTCTGTGAATTTTGTAGTCCGTGTCGCTGCTCGATCGTTTAAACTGGTCCCACTAGTGCTGCCAACTTAAAATCCAGGCGAAAAATGGCGCCTCCTTTAAATTAAAAATTGTGTAAAATTAAAATTTGATACACAAAACAGGAAAAATTGTTATTATTAATATACAGGGTGTTATTGAAAGGTATGTACAACAAAATGGACAGTTCTTCGCGAAATCTAAGAAGTCGGAAAAGCTTATTTTGTGTTATCAAAATTATAAGGGGAAGATTAACCCTTATCCAACCTATTTAGATGCTACTGAAGGATAAATAGGTAAAATTAATTTATTTTAGTAAATCCCAGCAACTGTAACAATAAAACTTTTGTCAAGACTAAAGGTTGCTATAGAAACGAAAGATGATCTTTTTATCAGAGGCGTACAACGAATTTGGACGTAAATTTTAATAATTTTTATCTCTACAAGGAGAACACTTTTACCTGAACTTTTTTTAACTTTTAGCACCTATACTTCGAAACCAATTGCCGATTTTATTTTGTACGTACCTTTCAATAACAGGCTGTATTTATATATATTAATTATTGATTTTAACGCAAATCTCCACACGAATAACAGAACATACTTACTTGCAATAAACAACAAAATGATGTTTTGAGTTTTGACAACAAAACAGGCTTTGACTCTGTGCTACGTTGTAGTATATGAATCTCTCCAAGAAAATGGGGCAAAAAAAAGCATATGTATCTCCTATTATTTTTATTCATAGACTTTGAACTGTACACTATTGTTCTGTTATTTTGGTTACGTTTTTTTACATAAAAATACACCCTACTTCTTATATATAATTTAACAATACTTTCAATTATGTTATTGCCGCAGGTACAAAACATTGCTTTTTTCCAAACTGTTGAGTACCATATTGCATATTTGATCATTTTTAATGTTATTGTTATTTAGAAGATGTAAAGTGTTTCGAAATATTTTTTCCATCTTCACAAATCGGCATTTTTATTGAATTTAACGCAAATCTCCACACGAACAACAAACACACGCACTTGCAATTAACAACAAAATGGTCTTTAGAGTTTTGACAACAAAACATGTTTTGACTTTTTGTGCTACGTTGTTTACACCAGGGTAGACAACACAAAACACAACCAAAACATCTGACATTTAGTTACTTCAGTGCAACCAACACAATTTGGGACCAGCCAAGAGACCCAGGTGACGCTACTATATGTAATCTAGTGGCTATAGTTTAAACTTCCGTCATAAAGCTCGTTTAGTCCTCACAAGTTTTAAAATCTTTGCAGTTATCCATGGTTTGGTTGAGGATCTTTTTACCGTGATAACAGCGGAATGTTTCGAAACCGTGCTTCGAAGTACATTTTTAAACACCTGCCAGTTTTGTTCAATTGATTGGTCAGAGAGTAAAGTGAACCAATCTAATTTTTTGAGGTCATCGTTAACAGATTTATAGTCTGTAACAGTTCTCAAAAATGAAACCGTTCTTTCTCTACGAAAGGTACAAATCTGCATATTGATCTTGAGAACTACATGGTCAGAGTTACCAACTGGATAAAGATACTCTAAGGGCCGGTTGCATAAACGCAAATCAAATTTAATCTCTGATTAACTCCATAGTAACGATTGTTATTATCATAGTTACAATTGTTCTTAATCAGAGATTAAATTTGATTTGCGTTTATGCAACCGGCCCTACATTAGCTAGTAAATCATCGTCAGATGTAATAATTAGATCTAGAGTTGAAGGTTGCTGACCGGCTCGATACCTGGTAGGTTGATCTACAATTGTATTAAGTGATGGGAAAGTAACAAATCAACCAACAATTGCGAAGATCCACTATAGCTATGGGACATCTCGAAAGGCCACTTAACATCCGGCAGATTGAAATCACCAAAGATAAATACCTTATTGTTATTGCTTGCTAGCTCCGACAATGTTTGAAAAAGCAATTTGTCGTCATTCAATACTGAGGAGGGGGGTCTATAAATACATCCTAAAAAAATGGAGGGAAGAATAAAATTTATTTGTTATTAGGTTATTACCGATATTATCCAGTTGCGGATAATAGTCGCCAGCACCTACGACAAATTTTGAATTAAATTTCCTGGTTAAAAAAAAGAAACGTATTAGAGTATAATAGCTCCTATGAGCTCTACTCTATAACAAATCAATAATCAACAAATCAAAAATATTAATAGTAAATTTGTCTTACTGTTCTTGAAAACTAATGAGATCACATATAGTTTCAAAACGTCTGGAAAAGAGCACTTTTTGAAATAATTATTGTATTATTAAATACAACTGTTAAGGAACAAAAGAATACGGAAGCAGTTTAATGTTAACAAAACTTAGTATATAGCTACTGCATGGCCACTGTCAAATAGGGTTTGATGGTTATCAAGGTTTCAAAAACGTCGAATTCGATTTGTTGCACGACTCATCATAAAATCAATTGTAGAACCTGTACTGTAATCAGAATATGGGATTGGAATGATTGGATATGTTGCGTATAGATAGGCGTTTATAATCATTAATAATTAATTTAGTATTTTGCAAAATGTTGTCCAGATAACTCATTTAGGACAATGTTTTTCAAACGACTCATATGTGTTTAAAAATTGCTTGTTTACCCTAATAGTGGCTTCCACATTTTGAGTATACGCGGTAAGCGCCAAATATTCTCGGCCTAACCAAGAAAAAGACCTGATGGAAAAAAAATTAAATATTTATATTTCAACATAATCTCTGTTAACTTCAACACATTCAAAACTACGTTCAACTAACAGCTCTATCCCTATTTGCACCTCTTTATCCGTCCCAAACGTTTTCCCTGCAAGTCGTTTTTTAACTTAGAGAACAGTTAATAATCGTTCGAAGCTAATAAGTCAGTACTGTAGGGTGGGTGATCAAGTTACTCGAAGTCACAGGCCCCTATAGCAGCTTGAGAAAGACATGCGGTATGAACGGGCGCATTGTCATGAAGCAATCGAACGCCTCTTGTTAATTTTCTCGGCCTTTTTTCCCAAATACGTTCTCCTAATTTATGTATCTCATCCTTTAAAATTAATCAACAACATGCCTTTACAGTCCCAAAAAATTGTGGCCATGATTTTTTTGGAAGATTGGTTCGTCTTCAAGGGTTTCTTACCCCATGCGAAATAACTGTAATCATTTTTTTTAGTAAAATGTGAAGGACAAGCTTCAGCAAACACAAAAACCATCCATAATTTTTCAAAGATTACTCCTCAAATGTATCAAAACTAATGGGCAGTGGGGCTTGAAATTTTACACACATACTGCGGGGACCCTCTAGTCTTTTATGAGTTGTACAAATTTCCCGACGAGCAATCGCAAATATATCAAGCCGAGAATATATTTGGCGCCTACCTCGTACATCTGATAAACTATTACGAGGTCACATGGTGATTTTAAGATTTAAATTTATGTTATGTATTTCTGCATTTAAGTAGGTCTGGAAATTATTACCACGCCTTTTGATTAATCTTCTTAGCTACAAAGGGTTTTTCTCTTTTATTCTGCCTTAACGTCGCCAGAAAGTTTGCTTTTATTAATCAGATTCCTACGGTCTAAATATTTATCAACTCATATTTTTTATCAACATCATATTAAATATGTTAATTTAAAGCCATGTTTTTACTCTTAAAGTTAACTATTCGCCTTTAGATTAGTTTTAAAATTTAGATTTAAAATTACAAATTATACATATATGCAACCAAGAATACACAACGTACACAGATGTTAGCGCCTTTCAATACTACCAATATTTTATTGGACTTGTCCACCAATATCAAGCATCAAAATCACCAACATCTTTAAAATATTTTCTTTATTTTGTACAGAGAAATTTGAAACAATATTACAACAACAATATTTAATTACATTTATTATTTTCCATAAAAAATGCATTTTTTTATCCTGAAAAATTAACTTTTTTCAGTAAAAAATTAGTGACATCTATGCAACTGATTGAAAACTTCCAACTTGTCGTCAGATTTATGAACTGTCAAAAATAACTAACCTCACCTAAATTAATAGTAATAATACCAATTTAAATCAAAGTTAATCCAAGGTTATCACAGTTCTTCGTCGAGAACGGGCACTTTTTTGCATATGAAGTAAAGTACCATCCACACACAAAAACTGCGATATTATTCCCGACTTAGAAAATTCAAACCGGCATTTGAAATGACCAAAAAAATTAAGGTAAACCACTGTTAAATATTTCAATTTCCACTTAAATTTTATTAAGTTGTCTATTTATAGATCGGCATTATCGGAGGCTCGGGTTTAGATAACCCCGACATTTTAAAAAACGCCACAATCAAAGAAGTCACTACTCCGTTTGGAAACCCATCGGACTTCCTAACTGTGGGCGAAATCGAGGGTGTGGAATGCGTCCTGTTGCCCCGGCATGGTCGTAAGCATAACATAATGCCTGGAAAAGTCAATTATAGAGCCAACATATGGGCACTTAAAGACCAAGGGTGTACTCATATTATTGCAGCAACTGCTACTGGTTCATTGCAGGAGCATATGAAACCTGGAAATGTAGTTATTTTAGATAATTTTATAGACAGGTGAATATTAATTATAAAATTGAAAGTAAATAGTTTTTGTGTTAATGTGTAGAACACAACAACGCAAGCAAACTTTCTATGATGGAGAGAAAAACCATCCTTTTGGAATATGTCATTTGCCAATGGAACCAGCGTTTAATGAGAGAACCAGACAAATTATTATTGAGACAGCGGAACAGCTAAAAATTGACGTCCATAAAACAGGAACTGTGGTAACTATTGAAGGGCCACGATTTTCAAGTAAGGCTGAAAGTCATATGTTTCGGCAGTGGGGAGGGCATCTAATTAACATGACCACAGTTCCTGAGGTAATTTACCTTGTTTAACATTTGTTGTACATTTGTAGAGGCTTTAGATTGACAGTAGTACTAACTATGTATTTTTAAGCCAAAAGTGATCAAAACTATTCACACTTTTTTGCGTCAATTTCAACATATTATTAAGTTCAGATTTTATTGTTTATGAATATCATAAGATGTAAATTACAATAAATTTAACAGACATTTCTTTTCAGGTTGTTTTGGCTAAAGAAGCTGGTATTTGTTATGCAGCTATTGCTCTAATAACGGATTATGACTGCTGGAGAGAAAATAAAGATGAGCATGTAACAGTTTTCGATGTTCTGGCCACTTTTAAGAAAAATGTTGCTAAAGTTACCACACTTATTAAAGCCATAGTGCCTAATATAGCCAAAGAAGATTGGGATCAAACTATACAAGAGCTTAAGGTTGTTTTATTGTTAACTCTGACGTTTTGCTAAACTGTTTTTCTTTTTGTTTAGGATGTCGTCAAAAACAGCGTCATGGTGTAGCATTTCCAGTGAACGGATGTTTCTCAAAGAGGATAGTGTGAAGTTACAACAAATGTGTTACTTTTGCCAGTTTATTACTTTATTTCAGAACATTTGTTTAAGTTTCTACATTGCATTTACGTTACGTTATTACTTGGTTTTCTTAATAGAATATTTACAAAAACTGAGTTTTATTGAAATGCGAAAATGTATCAATGAATCCGTTCTTAATTCTGACTTACTGAGCGTAAGCAAAGGAAGTAATGTAATGGAGTCCTCGGCGGACTCTACTTTCTCGTTTTCTCGACCTTACATGACCCCTAGAGTACAAAGTATAAATAAGCCTCACGTTTCCGTCTGTCTGTCTCTCCGTCTGCCGTCCCGATTTTTATTAGACACAATCTCCGAAAGTACTCGGCCGATATAGTTGTCAAATTTTGTATTTATATTAGGAATGTCATATATGTAGATGGTAAAACGCTAAATAAAATTTGTTTAATCATCCGCACCAATAATGTGATGACGTTACTTCAAAATGGGTTTTAAATTCGATGAAATAACAGTCATACACATGTAGTTTATGATTCCCTATAGTTTTTACCCAAATCGTCCAGATGTTTGGAAAAAATCAAAATTATAAAACAACATTTTGTAATTTATCATTCCTTTCATATTTTTTGGATTTGCGTCTACAGGGTGACTCAAATAAATTAATGAATGCGTGAATTTATTCTATTGATTTAATCAGGAACTACAAAGCCGAATGTATCTGTTTATCAACCCCCAAAAATTGATGACATCATCCCAACGTTTTGCTGAATATATCCTGTCTAAAATGTGCACACTATGATCAGTCTATACTTGTAATTTCTCATTTTATTGATATTTTTTAGATTTGCTTATGCATCAATCAGTCAATTTATTTCTTCTTGCACTAATACACGCTGTGACTACTTTTCTTTTGTGCTGTGACTAGTATTATCCATGTTGATGACGTCGTCACAAATTTTTTAGTGGTCAAATTAAGAACGAGTCAGCCCATTTTTTCGAAAATGTGAATAATAAGCACGCCTTTATATAATAATAATAAAATAAGAATTATAAAAATTATAATATTCAGAACATTTTGTTCGATCGTGGTTTAATTAATACTTTTAGTCCTGTGTTTTGAGAAGACAAACCCATTCACATCAAACTAATTTCTACGTGACATTCTTTCGATGTATAAACATAAATAAACAGTTGAGCGTCAGATTGCTATTACCTAGTGTTGAAGGACAAGGGTTGTTAGAGATGGATTATTTTAAGTTTAACATGGTGACTCATCAGAATCTGACAACGGACTGTCACTCAGTAGCGTAACATGCTCACTTCAGAAAGGAGTGGTTTTTAAATTTATTTTATTAAATCACACACAATAAGACAGGGAAACATAAACTTAAGTAAACTGGTCAACACGCTAGCACGAATGCGAATGAATCTATTAGGCACTAATCTAAACAAGTAGCAGGTACCCATTTCAGGTAGAACAGTTTACTATGACAGAGAAACGATGACGGGCGCCTCTGAGGGTGCTGCTATTCGAAAATACTAGTTATGGTGTTAGTGAGATGGAGTGAGCTGCACTGATGAGATACAACAAGATCGAAACTGCAGTCTACAGCTTCACAACGGGTTGTCTAGGGTTCGGTGTGATTAAACACTTTGCAAATACTGGATATGTTTCATTGTAGTTCAGGAGCGAGGGAAGTTCTGGCGAAACAACTATCGACCAATTTTTTTACTCTGATACAAATGGACCAGATATTAAACACGTAATAGGTTTTTCACATGTATTACATATGCGGATGCGCATTATTTAAAGTCTTCAAAGATTGCATAAAGACTGAACTGTCAGTTTTTGACTTATTTGACTTGTCTGCAAACTTGAGGACTCCATGTACTTAAACATTGTTTAATAAAATTCCACAGATTTCATTGAATATTAAATAAATTATATTTCGTTACTTAGGTAATTACACTGCCGTGTCAAGCTAAAGAGCACTAAGGGTGTTTTATATAAACTATTAATCTGAACCTATATTCACCAAATTAAATTGACAACATTCAATGCATATATCTAATACTACTATATTGCTAACTCTTCAGAAGAGACAGAAGATGTTGTTGGAAAAAAAATCAAAATTATAAAACAACATTTTCCAATTTAATTTTGAATTTTCTAAACCGAATGCTTTGAAATCTTGCAGATATTTTAAGGTTATACACAGCATAATAAATTTTTAGTCAAAATATACTTGGTTATCCCCTCCAAAAAATTGATGACGTCAGCTCAAAAGTTTGCCAAATAAATCCTATCTAAAATGTACAAAATATGATGAGTCTGTACTTGTAATTTATCATTCCGTTCATATTTTTTGGATTTGGATATACAGGATGACCCAAAAAAATTAATGAATGAGTCAATTTATATTATTGATTTACTCAGGAACTACAAAACCGAATGCTTTGAAATCTTGAAGATATTTTAAAGTTATCATAAGCATGGTAAATTTTTTATCTAAATGTATTTACTCATCCCCCATAACAAATTTATGACGTCACCCCAAAATTTTGCTGAATAAATCCTATCTAAAATGTAGAAAATATGATGAGTCTCGTCTTGTGATTTATCAGTCCATTCATATTTTTTGGATTTACATATGCAGGATGACCCAAAAAAATTAATAAATGCGTAAATGTATTGTATTGATTTAATCATGAACTACAGAACCGAATGTTTTTAAATCTTGCAAATGTGTTAAGGTTATAAAGAGCATAATAAATTGTTAGTCAAAATATATTTGCTTATCCCCTCCAAAAACTGATGACGTCAGCTCAAAAGTTTGCCGAATAAATCCTATCTAAAATATACAAAATATGATGAGTCTGTACTTGTAATTTATCATTTCATTCATGTTTTTTGTAATTGCATATACAGGGTGACTCAAAAAATTTAATGAATGCGTAAATTTATTTTATTGATTTACTCAGGAACTACAAAACCGAATGCTTTGAAACCTACTGCGAAAAAAAAACATAATAGGCATGCAGTCGTCACGTTTCCGACAGCGAGAGAAGTACTGTCTAAACTCTTTAGACCAATTTTTTAAGCACCCTATACATATACTTCCTGGTTGAATAATTGCACACAAAGGCAATGGTAACTAACCTACTCGTTCGTCATTCCCTATAATTTTGATTAGCAGATTTTTTTATATCTTGAGCTCTTAAAAATTCAAAATTGATGTAAACAGACTACAATAAAAAAATAGTTTAGGATACGACGTAGACCGGTCAGGAAACTTCGAATTTTAATTAATCTTTTTTCGAAAACATCACTACCTTTCCTCAAGTCATCTAATGGAGATTTCAAGGAAACTATACATACAAGGAATGAAATTTGTTTAAGAATGTCCGGAATAGCATATAATGTACATAGATTAATTTTTATATCGTTTATCCGGCTTAATTCTATATGAATAGTAATTACATTCACCCTCTTGTTGATAAAAAACAAAGAAAATCATATCTTACGTCGTATCAGTTATAGTGACTAAGTGCAGTGATTAAATTTTTGTATCAATTGAAATAAAATCTACGCGGATATGGGGACATCCTTGCCACAAAGTGGTCGGTCGTAACACGTACCACTATTTTATTAGCGCAAATTTATCTAAATGACTTACTGTATTTGTGCAAAGATAGGAGTTCAGTGATATTAAATAATCGTTTTATGAAAGTGTAAACAAGTGCAAAACTGTTTTATTATTTTTACCAGTTTATTAAAAATCAAAAATGATAATAGTAAGTATTGCTTAAATTAATTTATAGGCAATGAAGTTTCATTCAATTTTAAAAGCAAACACGTTATTTTTCTATGTATGTTATTCAAAACAATTATCTATTATAGTTTTTCACTATTTACGTTTTTCTTTTCAGAATCGAATTTTGAACTCTGCAAACTCCACAAAAATGTTTTTTCTTATTTATCAAATTTCAGTTAGTGTTTGTACAGTACAGGTAAGTCCCATTGCGCTTTTTTTAAACAAAATGATAGCTTTCCTATGCGAGATTTAATAGGTCGATTCTGTAACAATTAGTTAACATTATGTTATTTTAAATTTCTGTTATTAAAATTGCTATGTTATCAGGACGTTAACATAAAACAAGAAATGTCGTATTCTGTAAACCGTTATGTTAGTACCTAAATAACAGATGTGCCATTTGTCCGAAAATGTTATTTTTCGAAATAATGACACCATTTTCATCATCTGTCACTGTCAAACAAATAATTATACACATTTGTTGTCGAATGAGTGTTGCATTATTGGGAAAAATGAGTGCCAAAAACAAGGTTGACAAAAATAAAAGAGAAGGTAGGACGAGTTCGGATCAATATGATCACTACCTCACATTAATGGAAACAGATGAAATCTTTCGCACCGGAACAGTTAATCCCAGCGTAGAAGATGGTTACATCGCTAAAAAATGGGAAAATTTAGTGCAAAAATTGAATTCCTGCGGAACCGGACCAAAATTAGATACCGAGGGCTGGAAAAGGGTAATATATTAATTCATAATGGCATAAACAATGTTTTTGTTGACTATATAAATATTGTAGAGATTCACAAATTGGAAAAATTCTACGCGGGCTAAGTACCGAAGAATTTTAGAAGACAAGAATGGCACTGGGGGTGGAGAAGCGTCGGCATCAGGTCTGACTCCACACGAGGATCGTGGAATAACCGTTTGGGGGAGAGTTGCCATAACAGGAACCCCAAAGGTTCAACTTACTGGTGGTTTGCAGCTGGTTGCCGTTGAGACAGAGCATCAGCAGGAGGAACAGCAGGCGGACTCTGGAGAAATATATTTGGAAAAAGAAATAGCGGCTGCAGAAATTGTCTTAGAAAATGAGACAGAAATGGAAGAAAATGAACCACTGCAAGTTTCAAAGGAAGGTAGAACTAGGCCTTCAACTGCAACCACCTCCAGTAATGGCAGTAGGAAATATCACAGGCAACCGCCTTATATAAGACCCTTTGCAAGACCTCTTCCAATCAGACCCAGTAGAGCAAAACCAACAATGGTCGCTGTGGGCATGAATATGTTGGAAACATTTAAAAGTGAAAAACAAAAAATAGCGGAGGTGGAGAAAGAAAAGCTGAATTTGGAGAAAATTCGATTAAAATTTGAAATTGCAAAATATAAATTTGAAAATCCCAGTTTTGTTTTTGATGAAAATTTCTAGTTGTTGTGATCAGCTTTTCTTTCTCGATCTCTGCTGTTTTTTTTTTCAATATCTGACATTTTGGAAAAGAGTTCTTCGATGTAACATTATGTATATATTAGGATTAAATAAATATTTTGAATAGTTATTATTAATAACCTATTTTCTTTTACAACACCAACCTACTAATTAATAATCACATAAAATTATTTTCTATATACTGATTTCTAGCTTGTTGACCAAGTTGTAGTATGTTATCGCCCAACTGATCGGGAGCAGGTCCTTGTGGTAAGTCATTCTCTTGTTCCTCATTATTTATTGGTATGTCTTCTTCATCCATCTCTAAGCCGGCCCAAATGGCAATGTTATGAAGGACTGCTGCTGCGTAGATAATATAGGCAGCCTTCTCGGGTGTATAATGCAAGACCCTATGTCTTAATAAGCAACGAAAACGTCCTTTTAAAACACCATTAGTCCGCTCAATGACGTTTCTTGTGACTTTGTGTGCATTATTATATGCTTCTTCAGGTGTATTGGGTTGAACCGCGGCAAATGGGGTAAACAGCCAGGGTTCAAGCCCATACCCACTATCACCAATTAGTCGCGATGCGACATCTCCCCTTTGGAATCTTTCGCGGAGGTGGGTTCGAATATTGGATAATCTCCATATAGCCGCATCGTGTACAGACCCTGGATATCGGGCATCACATCCTAAAATCCTGCAGTTCGAATCACAAATAAGCATCACATTGATGCTGTGATATGACTTTCTATTAATGTACACGTGCGGTGGATGATCTTGATCTGTAGTTGCTGGTGCCACAATCGCGACGTGGGTGCCATCGATACAGCCGATGACACCACGAAAATGTGTTTTTTCATAAAATTTTTGTTTAGTAGATATTATCGCTTCTGCGGTCGTTGGGAACTGGATCCAGACAGGCATTAAAATTTCACTAATTAGGCGACAAATTTGAGTCATGGCCCTGCTGACCGATGGTTGACTCATGGCAATAGAAGAAGACATTCCTACGCAGTGTTGGTATGAGCCATGGCCTAAGAAGTTCAATGTGGCTAAAATTTTTAAGTATCCCGGAATACCACTGGCACGTAGATTTGCCAGATGAGGTTGCAACCTCTCTAGTAAGAAACGGGTCAGATTTTTGCTAAAACGGAAAGACTTTCTAAATTCCTTCTCTGTTAAACTTTCAAAGGGATTTTGATTGTCGCGAAGTTCCCTCCTTCGAATTCTCATTCTGTTCCTATAATACATGTATTGTTATATTTTTAGTAATACTGTGATATGAAAGACTTACCGTTGAATTTCGTCTTCTAATAATAAATAACCGAAGACAGGTAGAAAATCATCCACTTCTGCCATTTTAATTCCTTTTGCCACCGCAGTCAAATTTGTGATATTATTAATTAATAAACGTCAAAATAGGCGCATTATTTTAATAACATTGACTCAAATGTCTCTGTTATTTTACAGAGAATTTTAATAACATAATGTTATTAACATAACAGAAACAAGCCTAGCGAATTGCAATTTATGTTAAATATGTTATTACATAGCAACAACAGAATGTTAGCTGTGTTTACATAGTGATAACAGAATGTTATTAACATAACAAGTTACAGAATCGATCTATTAGTTTATCTGTTGCTTTCATTGTTAGAATGTTAACTCAATCTTTTTAATTTTTTTAGGACAATCTCAATTTTTATAACATTTTTGACACTACGAATCCCGTACCTTCCGTTCAAAACACAGCTAAAACTGAAGACAAAACATACGATGACGCGCTTTACAAATCAGCCTACAGAGACAATACAGAAAGGTTTTTTAAAATGGAAGGGTTAGATAATGAGGGACATTTTGGTCTAGACAGTGTCAAAGTACCCTCTCCACAAAACAGTGCTTTTGGAGACTTTCTGGACACTATGTGTTCTGAAATAAACACAAATGACCATGAGTCGGTTAGACAGGATACATACGATTTCTTCTCGGAAAATAAATGGTATCTACACGGGTTGGTATGAAATTGAAATTTTTGTACACTTGCTAAATTGGAACTTTTAGTGGAATAGGAGCTTTTGGAGTCAGTGCCATTACTTTTATTGTTATGGTTTACCGAAAATGGCGTCAAAAGAAAATTAATTCTGAAAACGGCAATTTCCCGAGTGTGGATAATCAAAATTCTCAAGAAGACAAAATTGTAGTGAATACAGAGGAAAATAAACAAAGCGAAGGTACAGTAAAACAATTTTTGTTAACAAATTGGAGTTGTGATGTGCCGAAATAGCCTTTACATTATTACGATCATTTCTATACTCAAATTACTCCAGTAAATAAAAACAAGTCACAACACTCAGTCGTATAACTTTTGTTTCATTTTTTTCGTTGTTATGCTCACTGACCCAACTTGTATAATAATAGCTGTTTGTCATATTATCAAATTGTAGAAATCCGGAATTATCAAACAAAGGCTTAAAGTTCTTTTATTTTTGTACAAAAATGGATGCACAAAAATTTTTTTTTTGCTAAATTATTGCCGACTGATAGAAAATCAATTTCGAAATGTTGTCTAATATATATTTCTATTTTTAGGAAGACCACAAGCATGCAACACCAACGATACTGTTTTGCTAATTTCTCTTTAGCATACGAATTCCGATTACTGTTGCGGTATTGTGAATTAACAAGAAAATAAATTATTCACCCAAAATAAAACTGAAAACTTTGTTAATGTGGTGGTTTTATGTTTGATTTTTCATTGTTGCATACAATAGAGGTACTGATTTTATCAGAGTATTTACTTATTAAATATTTTAGAAATCTTTGACACAACTTCACTCTGTATGTCATTATAATTCCCAAAAAGATCTAGGCGATACTTTGTACGTTGATTATAATATTAAACTATTACAGTTAATATAATGAGTTTTTGATTTTCATTTGCAATATCGTTTCACTCAGTAGACGGTACGGCAATTATTTTTTTAAGGCTGATTCCTTTTTAGTAGACACTTTTGTATTATGTGTATCTAATAGTAAGTCAGATTTATGTAAAATTAATATGGGTATGAATATTTCAAAAATGTAAGTGCGTAATAGTCCCTCTGTGCCAGAATAAGTGTCCTATTTCTATATTTTGCTAAATATTACATTTATTTTTCAAGATGAAGAGACTTTGTTTAAAATACGGGTGTGGTGACAATGTGGGTCTGGAAATAAAACCAGTTGCCCCAATTTAAAAAAAAGCCTAATTTAACAGAAAAAAACTCGTCAGGGCATCTACCAGTTTCTTCTTGAAGTATGTATAAATGGAAAGATTAAGCGCGGAGCCATGTAATCTGCGGCTATAGGATATTCGGTTTCAACGAAAACTGTCAAATTTGGTATGGAGGACGATTCTAGAAAGTCTCTGTATGTGAATGTTGCATTTATATGGTTCAGAACAACCGAATAAATACGAAAATCTGAGAAAATGTAATTCATTAACATGATAGATAAGGAGGGCAATCTGAAAATCTGTTGTTTTAATTTATTGCACGGAAAGTTCAGTATTATAGCAAAACTTATTACAAGATGTAATGTTTGTTTTAATGATAATAATAATTTTCCATTAAAAAATACACCTTCCCATTGATTTAAAAAAAAATCGAATTTTTTAAAAAGCCGACACTTATTTTGGGACAAATTTATTTCCAAATCGGACATTTAATTTGGGACAGAAGGATTATTATTAAAGTGGTGTTTGTTTTTTTGTCATAAAAAATTACTGTAGTTAAGTATTTGTTTATTTATGTTTATTTATTTATTAAATCTCCATAAAAATATGACAAAACAATATAATATGTATTTTCATTACCTGTTATACTTACATTGGTAGATAGTCAATTTGCAAAAAATATGGTAAAGAAGCCCGTATTAGATTTCAATGTTATGGAGATGTTTGCTGGAAGAAAATGGTGGCATTTTTATTTTTGCCGTGTTATTGTATTCACAAGAAGTTTTCGTGTAAAAAAATAAAGACGAAAAAAATTAGAGTAAACGGATCAGCACCCAGGAAATTTGGGGTTGTAGGGTTTATTTACAAAAGAAAATACTTTTTTCCCTTCTCATCTTTAGACTTGTATATTGAAACAGCAATCTTTCCAAAATTTGCCTGTTTTTAAAATGCATTTTCGGTATTCTTTCATTATCGTTACTGGTACTAGTTATCATAGCAATTTTTGGATAAATCAACCACTGAATCCGCTAAAACTTGGCGCGCATCGGACAAACCTTTCGCAACAAGTTGACGTAAATTGCGTCACATCTGTGGTAGTAGAACGAACTTGAAATTTGACGCTATTAATTTCTTTTGCGTCGCTTGCCTGACGCAAAACTGATTTGCTTGAACGCAAATTAACTTGAGACTGACCCGTCATACTCACCGAGGAGGGTCGTATAAAAATACACAGATAATACGGTGAAATGTGTGGCACCAACCCCTCAAAATCGAGGCACCGTTTACAACTATGTACGCCCCTAGGTTCGAAAGTACCTCTAAACAGAGGCGGAGCAATGTAGTTTATCATCCGTTATGGGGATGAAACAAGCTAGTTTTAGTTTGTTTCAGTGAAAACGTTCTAATATAAGGTAACTACACACAAAAGGAATGGTAACTAGCCTACTCGTTCCGTACGCTGTAGATTAACATTTTTTTTTCTCTCAGGCTATTAAAAATTTAAAACTGGTCAACTGTAAGCATAAACATACTACTATAAAAACACGAATCTATTGTAGAATACTACAAAGACGCAAAGTCCGGTCAGAGAACTCCTAGTTTTAACAAATCTCTTTTCGAAGACATCTCAGAAGACTTTGAGAGACTTTGCTAGAGTCATCAAGTAGACTTCAAAGAAACTAGACATAAACGAAATAAAATTTGTATAATAACGCCCTGAATGGAAGTAAAGCCATATCAACATTGTCGGACTGCCACATTGCAATTTTTGTGTCTGGAGGATTTACTTTAAATTAAACGGTTAAAACTATTTCATTTACACATTATAACGATTGAAAAAGTTACGTTTATTCTATAATATCGTAATATGCACTGCACATGTGTTGTATTAGGGATAGTGGAGGATGCTATCCTCTGTCAAGATAACGCGGACAACTCAAATAAAAAGTAAATTAGAAGTACTTCGACAAGAACAACTGAATTTCTTATATTCCACTCATTCATTTCTTTTTCCTTGACACAAATCCACACCGTAAGCACAACCATATGGAAACTAAGAAAGCATTTTTGGGTACTGTTTGCTCAGTGCATTAATAAATCAGCGTTTTTTGTTTACTAATATATATTTAGCTCTAATTAAAATATTTTTCAGCTGCAGTCGATAATGTTGATATATCGTTCAAATTTCATGGAAAATCTTTAGCAATGGTTAGGATAAAAGAGTAGATCACTAGCAAAATATGTATAAACGCAAATGTGCTTTTACATTTTTTCATTTTGTGAAGAATCTTATCCATTTTTTAGTGTTTATAATGATAAGATAGAAGCCTTATCAAACACCTACTATATTTATTTATTTAAAGTACAATAAACAGAAGCAGGGGCGTAAAACCGATAGGTCTCCATAATAATAATAGTGCGGTATAGATTACATATTAGTGTATTACATATCCGGGTTAGTGGTGAGTTCTGTAATAAAAATGATGTATTTCCCTTTCTTGTTGATAAACCCGATACTACTTTTTTTAAAGCATGTGCAACTTAACAAACCCCCGACTGGAAAAATTAACGAGTTACAGTACCACAGACACACAGACAAAGGGCTCAAAGCTATAATAAGCCTCTTTTTGCGTTGGGGGTTGAAAAGGCAAATAAAAGCATATCTTTAGTGGTCTTAATTATAGTGACTAACTGCAGTGATTAAATTCGTAACAATTGAAATAAAGTCTAAGCGGAAATGGGGACGTCCTTACCACAAAGTCGTCAGTCACACCAGTTTGCACTATTTTATTAGCTACAAGTTTATCTAAATGACTAACCATGCTCAGAATTTTACAATATTAGAGTTCAGTATTGTTAAATAATCTTATTTATTAAACTACTAAGTAACAGTAAACAAGTGTAAAAGTACGTTACCAATTTATTAAAAATCATAATGATAATAGTAAGTAATACTTACAACAATTAATTTTAATTGAATTTTAAAGCAAATGCATTATTGTTTTCTATTTTATTTTATTTTTTTTAGAATCGAATTTTGAACTGTGCAACGTCCAAAATATTTTTATATCTTAGTTATCAAATTTCAGTTAGTGTTTGTACAGTGCAGGTAAGTCCCGCACAGCTTTTTTAAAAAAAAGTGATAGCTTTCCTATGAGAAATTTAGTTTATCTCTTACTTTCGCCGTGAAAATTTTAACTCAGTCGTTTTAAATTTTTTAGGAAAATCTCAATTTTTATGACCTTTTTGATAAAACAATACCTGAAACTTCGCTTCAAAATCCATTTAAGACTGAAGACGTTAACACGCTTTATAAATCAATCTACAGAGACAACACAGCAAGATTTTTTAATATTGAAGACCCTAAATCGCATGAGTTAAAGAATGAGGTACATTTTGGTCTAGACAATACAAAAATACCCTCTCCACAAAACAGTGCTTTTGAAGATCTTATTGACACTATGTGTTCTGAAACAAATACGAATAACCATGAGTCCCATGAGTCCCATGAGTCGATTCGACAGGATGTGTACGATTTCTTGTCGGAAAATAAATGGTATCTACATGGGTTAGTAAAAAAGTGAAATTTTAGTATGTTCGCTAAGTTAGAGCTTTTAGTGGAATAGGAGCTTTTGGAGTCAGTGCCATTACTTTTATTGTCATGGTTTATCGAAAATGGCGTCAAAAGAAAATTAATTCTGAAAACGGCAATTCCTCGAGTGTGGAAGATCAAAATTCTCAAGATGAACGACTTGTAGTCAATACAGTAGAAAATAAACAAGACGAAGGTACAGTAAAAACTTTTTTTTAATTTCTTAACTAAAATTGTATGTTATAAACTGAAGCTGCTAGTGTTGGGATGTATTGTCAAAATAGCCTCTACTTAGGCTTTATATTATTCCGATCATTCTGATGCAGCGTTGTCGAGTTACTCTAGTTTACTTGAAGTCGATTTAGAAAAGATGACTAACATTTATTTCGTTTTTCAGAAAGACCACAAGCAGACAACTCCGACGATACTATTTTGCTAATTTCTGTTTAGCATTCGAATATGTATTGCACAATGCTGTATTGTGATATTGTGATTTAACAAAAAAATATTTTTTCCACCCGAAAGAAAAGAGAATTTTTATTTCTTGATCCTAAAAGACAATCTACTTAAAAATCGATGTTCACTTTTAGATTCACAAGAATCGCTGTTGGGTTTTAGTTTTTTGCTGTATACTTTCTGGGTTCGTTTAACGAATGTATTCTGTAATCACTTGTAAGCAAGAATATCTGGGCAAATATCCTGATTTGCAAATTCAAGAAACATCGGTAGAGGTTCACATTAAAGATGTAATTAAGAGATTTATTCGAATCGATAGTGTCAACAAAAGGAAATTTCCTGGAAGATCTTCAGTTTCTGAGGAAGTTGTTGCTGATTTGAGACGACTCGAGCAGAATTCACAAACATCTTTGACAAGATTGTCTCAGCAGTCAGGAGTTCCTGTTGCAACATAAAATTGAACAATGAGTCCAAAGCATTGACGAAAGGATGTTGCAGAACATTTTTGAAATTAAAAACGAGAGCAAACATGTGTCTTGACCATTTACTGCGACGTTTAAAATAAAGATTTCCATAGTAGATATTACTAAATCTAACACACATTAACTTACATTATTACATTCGCATATATGCACATTTCTTATTTTATGAAATTAAACGACTGAACACCATAAATGACACATAGAATGAATGATAAATTGATATCCAGATTTTCTTTCCTTTAGGGAAAGGATTTTTTAAATTATTTTTTCTTTGTCGATATAGGAAGTGGGCCGTTTCTGCAATACTTGTGTAACATATACATATGACAAACGAGGTAATCTTTTAAGATAGTGGAGGAAGTAATAAACACCCACATCTAAGTAACAGTTTATTATCGAGACATCTTTACAATTGTTTTATACATTATGTGCGAAATAACTCCGCAACCTTTACCTACCCCTTGGAAGAAACACAGCAATTTAATTCAAACATCAATCAAATTACTTTGTTTCGTGTCAGCATTGTAACAAAAACCGTCACATAAACGTTACTTCTTTTACCTTCATGAGCCTATATTGTGCAAGCCAATGAAAGTTAAAAAGTATATGTGTATATGATACCACAAAATTAAACCTAGTGCTGCCTCAATATCTACTGTGCGATTTTGTAGCACAAACAATAAATAAAACATACTGGAGGTTTTTAATAACATTTCGATTAAACTCACTCATTTCCACTCCAGGAGGTGTGATATCACAAGACGAAATTACCTATAATGTTTTAATGGTTCACATTACCCCAGACCCATTTCTTCAAAAAATTATCTTCTGTGTCAAAATATAGACTAGACGTACGCTACATTTTTTAGAAAAATATACCCTTCATAATTTACATTGCTAAGGATAACTGTGGTCTATAAATAATACAGTCTCTCGATTGTGATTTCGTTAAACAACTGTGAAAATTAGAGATCGCTAGTGGTAGATTTCCTCCTGACGTATTTGTTGAAGTAGTCTGGTCTCCAGCACTTACAAGAACCTGGGATCAGGAACCAGTCGTAGTAAAGTCGCACTTGGAAGCAGCCAAGAGCGTCTACGCCGTCACAATGAGTGGGCCTGGAAGTTGTGGAGGAGTCAATAGGGGCAGCTTGAAGACCCGCCCTCTTGTGGAGATATTGCTGATAATTCTGAAACAGTAATAAAATTAGCAATTAACATTATTGCAAAATTTTCAAAAAAAAATTCGTTCAAGAAATCAGAGTTTATATATAACAGATAAATATTTCTATTATGTCTAAATGGAGCTATTCTATGAATTAATGAAATTGAATTAACAAAATAAATAAATGAAATGTACCTGAAAATCTTGTACTGAAGGTGGTTGCGACGCCGCCACCGGACTTCTGGGTGGATTCACGGTATCACTGTTACTCAAAACGGTATCAGGATAATAAATTTCTGCAACCAAGAGACTCGACCATCGTGGAGAAGACAAGCACCCACCATCTAAATAGTGGCAACGTGATTGCAAACATCTACAACAACAATAAATAATACACCGTTTTACACACTCTTTCTTTTTCCCACCTCGTTACTTCAACTGTCTGCGTGAAGTACCCTTCGTACGGAATCTGAACCACGTATCTCCACACCCCTTGATAGTTCTTCGCAAAAACAGGAGTAGCATATTCCACTTTCGCAGGACAAGGAGTCGGAGGTCCTTCATACCTCGGTTGCACAACCTCGTCTCTTCTTTCCACTGGAAGCTGCGAAGACTGCTGGGTAACGGTGGTCGTAGTGTAAGGTTCTCCGTTGATGGCTTTATACAACATGCAGAAGAGTCCTCCCTGGTCGCAGAATTTACGTCCTTTCCGCTCTTTGGTTTCTGGGGTAGAAGTGGCATTCTTGGAGGTTTGTTTGTCTGTGGTTTGGTTTGCCGTCCTAGTGTCTCTCTTAACTCGGTCGTTCGTGTGGAATGGTGTTATTCTGCGGAGGATGTATTAGTGGTTTGTTGATGGTTTTGTGGGTTCTACTCACGTATTTTGTGAAATGAGGTCATCTTGGAGCTGCGCAACTTTGGGTAATGTTTCGTCCGCCTTAAGAATTGGTAATGTTCGGCTTAGGTATTTCAGTGTCATGTTTCTGATGAGGGCGCTATTAAAGAGGGAATGAAGAATTTTAGTCAAACATCATTCATATTTATTATCAAGCGAAGTTTTATTTCATTAAAAAAATTGCCTGAATATTAAGATTTCGTGATCAGCACTCTTTAGAATAATACTATTAAAACTTTACCTTTTTAAAAAACAAAACGTTAAACTAAATTTTTTTCAAAGTATAGAGTTTATAATAATAGAAAAGCAGGTAACTGAAATACATACAAGAAACTATAAAGTAATACCACAAATCGTAAAATCGGTGCTACAGTATTAATAAATGCAGTAAAATGCTAAAAATTTAATACAAAAATACCGCAGAAAAACAACAGGAAAAGATGCCACATCGATGCTTCCAAAAAACTGGTGCAGCGAGACCACGAGGTGGTATTTATTTACTTTTTAATTTTATTTTCAAATTGAAAAGTCAAGATACACTGTTGTTATAGTTAACTGTTATCCAACACTATTATTCCTGGGCCGGTGACATTTCTAAGTCAGACTATGAAGAAAAACAGTTGTAAGTCCTTGAAGAGTAGTCACTTTTCTCAATCTAAAAAATTTGGTATCATATCCAGGGCCCGTTTTTTTGAATATCGTCCTCAACTGTTGTTGTGTAATTAATTAAAAACTTGTTAACAATAAAGAAACGAGTTCTTTAGCACTTCACGCGTTTAGTGTTAGGCTAAAATATTTAAATCTCCAAGAAAAAATTCTTTTATGCCCAATTGGAGTAAAAATTCTTCCTAAAAAGTCTAAACTGAAATTATCAAATCCTGCGGAATTGCGTGTACAGTAGTAAGCACCAACTTCAACTTTTAAAATATAACGAAGTATTGAATAATACATGGCATTTTACAGTAAAATAGACGAGTGACGTTATTTTTTGTAAGTATAATTTAACCATTACGAAATTCAGTTTCTCGTCAAGTGAAATGTTAATTTACCTCAAGAAATCATAGACCAAGTAGTCTTTCACCAACTTTTAGTTTTTGTCCTGTACATCTTACTTTCAACTCAGGATTTTTGTTCACTTTTAATTTTACTTTGCGAGAACAATTCAACTCTCCCGTCAAAAGGCAAAAAAACGCAGAAATAGATAACTGTTTGCTCAGATCTACTTACAAAGGATAGGGAGAACCCAACACATTCTGCCCCATAGGATTTCTAGGAATAGTCCCTTTGTTTAGATCTCCACATAAATTAAAGGGAGACGCGTGAGGGCTCTTAAGATCATCCTCTTTGCAGTCGACAGGGGCAAATGAATAAGATGGTGGCCTCAGACGTGGAGGTTCCGCATTGGGTGATTCCACAAAAGCGTAGTAACCTTCCGGAGGTTCTTCGGCTGCATTTTCTGACGGTGGAACTTCATTCGCAACCACCACGTTTGCAATGCACAGAGAAAAAATCTGAAAAAATATGAATAAGCAAAAATGGCAGAGAGAAAGTCCAAGTAGTCGGTATGTCATTCAGATTTTGGCTGTCACTTCATGGTAAATTTGGTTACAATTCCCAAAATTTTTGTGGTTTTCATAATCAGTTAACTTTTACCTTATCTTCAAAATTTCATTTTGTTCGGTAAAAACAAAAATAAAAACAACTAACTGCTTGCTGTGTTTTTATTTCCATTTATTGTTTTTAGCAGCTCGGGTGTCATATTTACACGGCTTTACTTTTTGTGTACTTTCCTTTATGGTATTACATAGCATAGTTTCTTGTTACGTTATTATTAACGTTACTTATAAAAGTCAATGAACGTTGAAAAGTATTTGCATTAAAGGATGCGGCAAAAATTAGTATTCCTGGTACCGTTACGTCCATTAGCACAATTAATACTTTTACTTTAAGGAGATCGTGATATTTTTGCAATGGTTGTTCGTAATAGTAAAAGTGACAATTGCACTCGGGATTAAATTTTTTTGGTTTCGTGCGTGTAATGAGAAAACCTCTCGCTGAAGAAAACAGAAAATAAGGTTGCGTCCAATTATTTAGTTGCGTTAAGTACATATTTATCAATCACGCTGTGACGTCTGTGTGATGTAATGGATCTTACGGCACACAAATCACAAGAAACACAATTTTGCCGGGTATGAATGTACTATTAGGTATTATTAACTGAGATATGTTAAAATTGCTTGGGTAAGAAGTGTTACATAAATAAAAATGAGATATTTAAGTCTCAAGATTTTAACATAGATGATATTTTATACCACTAAAAATTGCAGTTTTCAGGACTACACCTAAAATATTTGTTAAAGAAACGTTAAACTAAAATTTTTTGGTGTCAAATGTAAATTTTGTACAGTTTATATAGGAATTTTTTTTTAACACCTAGTTGTTGAAATTGACAATTACTTCATATTTATATCGAAATTCACCATGAAACAAATCTATATATTTTTATTAACCTAACATTCCATAAATAATACTCCTGTTAGTTTTTTTTTATTATTTTTAGAATTATATCTATGATTAATATAAACAAACCTAGAAAGCAAAAGAAGTAGAATCTTATAAAGTTTCAACATCAGATTGATATTAGTCCTCTACAATTATCTATAATTTTTTACGTTGTGAGGTCAATGTCTTTTTTTTTGATGCAGCTACTGTATCATTATAAACTGACACGATTTATAATTTTACAACATACAGTGTATTGTCCAATAAATTAAATACTCCCCCTCTGTCCCAAAATAAGTGTTCGATTTCTGTATTTTGCTAAGTAGGTATTACCTTTATTTTTAAAGATAAAGAAGTTTTGTCTATCATGAATTTGGGGCATGCAACATTTTAATGTAAAAAAAACTTCCGAAGTTTTGTTTTGGTAATAAGAATTCTTTTTTTTTTGTAAACGCATTTAAAGAAACTTCGTTTAAAATGTTAGAGTGGAGACAATATGTATTTGTGGTAACTGGACACTTAGTTTGGGACAAAATTTATTTCTAAATCAAATACTTAATTTGGAACAGAATAGCTTTTTAAATGACATCATCAACTTTCTAAAAGAGTGACTAAAAGAAGTTTAGTTAATTCTATTTCTTTGAAATAATTCATATATATAAAGTCAAAACAAATTGAATTATTACACCGTAGACAAAAAAGAACGTTACGCCATATTCTATACTAAATAAAACCTTGAGATGACGTCATCAGTTCTTTGAAAGGGATGAAAAGAGACTTTTGGATAATGTTTTCGCAGTTTCGCAGCAATTTTAAAATACACCTTAAGTTCTAAAGTGATTATAGTACAAATAACATAAAGATGTAAACGAGGATATTTTGCTATCAAAATATCAAAACCACCACATTCCAATAGTTCTTTGAGACATCGAGAAGTAACAAAAGTATTAAGAGTGGAGAAAACTACTCTTATCGTATAATCAAGAAATGATATTTCAAAGACTAAATGCGATTTAAACTAAGTTCTATATTTTTGACATAACGGAATGAAAAAATAATCAAAGATTCGTCTTCTCACACCCCTGAACTTCAGTCGAAAAAATATAGCTTCTTCGAAAAATTACTAAATGTAATTTTGCCAATTTTGTTTTTAACTGTGTCGTCAAATTTATATACTTACAAAAATTTATATGACTTATGATATTAAAAGTCAAACTTAACATTCGTTTGAGACAACCTATATACTAAAAAATTAAAAATAAGGTGAACCACACGTAAAGTACAATTTACTTAATAATTTTAACACCTTCACATTAATTTTTAAATACACCTGGACCCGATTTATAGAAAGCGAAGTTAAAGTTAATTCGCGATTAACTTTTAACTGAGGTCCGTTGCGAGGCAACGCGCATATTTCAACCAATCACGGGCTCATATTCCACATTTTAATTCTCTGTTAAACTAATCGAGAATTAAATATTTAACTCGCTGTTCTGTAAACCGGCCCCTGAACTTTTAAAATAATCAGTTCAGTAGTTTCAGAGATTATTAGTTTCGTAGAACGGTGAACAGATGACACATATCTAACCGTAGACATAAGAAAGTGGGAAACCTAGCGAGACAGTCAGATAAAATAGTAAGCCATTAGTTATTACAACTACCATTTATGAAACGAATATTTTAAAAATTCGACATAAATTTAAAAAAATTATCAATTAATGTCAAAAACATGTTAATAACGACGTGGCAGGTGTATCTTCTACTAATCTAAAACTTTACATGTATGTGAAGATTTATTGCATTCCTTCTACTTGATTTTTCACATTTTTAAAATTTATGTATTTTTTATATCCAACTTCTTACGTCACCGGCACACATTTCCATTCCCAGAAAAAATTCATCCTAATCATGCTAGTGGCAGTGGTTACGCTCCACATTAATCTCCTGCCCCACATCTATAAGGCGGCATTTTGGAGCCAGCCACCACCCACTAATCCACAAAGAAAAAACATGTGCCAACCTCAGCCAAACAAAACCACCGACGTTACATCAAACTTTTGATAGTAACAAAATAAATAAAAACCATGTTATATGCTCCAATTACCCTCCTGAAAGAGACATTACTCAGGTGGATTATACCGTTATATAAAAAAGACATCCAAAGTAGGTTATTATAGCACGGCGCATAGACACGACAAATTATATAACGCAGATAACACGAAAACGTTTTGTCCGGGCCAACAATTACGAAGAGCTCCGCCCGAGTCTCGCCTCTGACAAACACGGAAAACGCTTGGGTCGTCGATTTGCGCCCACCGCTCCTCCTAAGTCTCGAAGACGGCGAAGCGCTGTAGATGCTTCACACGAAACGTTTTGTATAAAGTAACGCGTCCGCTTCCGGTTGCTCCTATGAGTTCCGGCTCCGCCTGGTCCGGTAAACTGTACTGACCGCTTTTAAATTTGAAACGGTAAAGTTATCGCCACGGCATGGGTTTCGCTGTGGGTGAGTTGGATCCAGAGGGTTGGTAAAGTATTAATGTATGTATAACTAATAAAATAGTAATTAGTTTGTTCCCGAAGCGCTGAAATCGTTATTTAACCACTGATTCTTACAATTAATCTGCAATTTTTCGTCTCAGTGTCAGCGTAAGTAGTAATAGTCTTAAGGACAATTAATTATTGTGCAGGATCTGTGGTGCTATCCGTCTTCAACAGAGGTATATATTTGTTCAATTCTTGAAGACATTTAAAACATTTTGTTCTTCACGTAGCTGATGCTTCTCAACCAAAAGAACTAAAATAAGATTGATGCTTTATGCTTTCTCTCATCATTCAAGCAAAACATAAACAAACAATTACATCTGAATATAACTTAACCAAATCTACAATTTGCAGTGTGAGAGCAAGACTATCGTAAGTCAAAATTTCTATAAAAATGTATGTCGACCTTTATTTTGTTATTATATTTTTTAAAGGGCATTTATAGCCACTTCAAACTCTGCTGGCACCTAATAGTTGATTGTCATACTAAATAGTCGGTATTATTGAAGCAAAAATATATTGGTGATTTTTTAGTTATATTTTAATTTATACTTATATCGTATTTTGAGACACGTGAGTCTTGTTCTGACAGTGCGGCAAATGTTCATCTGTGTCTTCGAATGAACAAGTAATTGTGATTTCATGAAGATGATAACAACTGCAAAAATATACTTTTACTTTTAGCACACAAATTTAAAATGACCGACATTTGAGTAATATGATACTCCTATTTTGTAAGAATTTAAGTTCAAAGTTATGATCCTGTCAAACCGATAACGACTGTAAAGAGGTATTTTTTGTTTAGAATTCAAATCAATTTACCGATTTTTTGTCCTTTTTCTGCTGCCAGTTTTATTGAATGATTTGTTTTTAATTTTTGTTCTACTTGGCCATGACGCTTATGTCAGCCGTTTCAATTTCACTGCTGACGTACGTGTCATGGCCAACTAGAGCAGAATTTTTTTTAAATCACCCGGTATTTCGTTATAAATAATTTCATTAAATTAGTTAAATTAGTAACACTTCATTTTGATTGAGAATATGTCTTGGTTTAAATTTCAGTAGTAAATTAAATAACCATTTTGAATTTTTAATTATTACATAACGATTTTTACGTTTTTTAGTATTTTTCTTTCTCTGGGGGCTCAACTCAGCTCAAAATATTTCACTCAACTGCTTTCAAAATCTGATAAAGTGAAATGACAAAATATTGCCTGTAAGTTACACAGTTATGTCATTGCTTTGAATAAGTTTTTTTTTACGAACGGACAGATTAATTAAATTTCATTTTCAAGCAATAAATGAAGATATCGAAATCTTTAAGGTGGCGGTTTCGCAAAATCTTAGTTTCTTACTGAACATTTACAGGTTGCCCGTTACCATCAGGACGGGGTGTAAGCTTTCCGTTATTTATTTTTTAATAATATTAGTTCTGAACACAGCACAGTTCCTTTTAGTCAGCTACTAT